TATATCATGGATTCTAAGTTTTAAGGTTAAGGGTATTTTAATAATTTTCATTCTCAAAACTAAAATAAAAAAAGAAAACCCCTCAAACCCTTACTCACGTCCCTTGTTCCTCTCAACCATTTATCTTTCATCTCTCTCACTCCAACATTTTTTTTGTCATTCTACTGCAGCTCCAAGAAAAAATCACCCTTAAAAAATTTGTCTTTGTAAAGAATTGAGTCATTGACATATTCACCTTCAGGCAAAGGTTCATTGAAGATCTCTTAAATTTCACTATCTTCAGTAACCTCTCTAATTTCATCATCTGCATATGTTGAATCATCATCTCTAAAAAAAACCCTCCATACCAATTACCAATTCCTTGCTTGTGAAAATTAGATAAAAAATTATATACGACAAAAATTATAAAATGAAAACTCATTATAAAATTATTTTTTGTAAGAAATTGTTTAACAACTAGTGTTTCTAATTTTTTTTCAAGTCAATTACCAATTCCTTTGATGTCATTATGCTTGTGAAAATTAGAAAAAATTAGATAAGACAAATTATAAAATGAAAACTCATTATAAAATCATTTTTTGTAAGAAATTGTTTAACAACGAATATTTATGATTTTTTCCAGGTCAATTACCTTATGCTTGTGAAAATTGGATAAAATTAGATAAGACAAAAATTATAAAATGAAAATTCATTATAAAATCATTTTTTGTAAGATTGTTTAACGACAATTGAGAGAAATGAAAGAGAAAGGGTTGTGAGGAATGAGAGAGGTGAGTAAGGGTTTAGGGGTTTCTTTTGTTTAGTTTTGAGAATGAAAATTATTAAAATACCCTTAACCTTAAAACTTAGAATCCATAATATATGAGACTATTGGGTACACGAGTTAAAACAGACGTACACAAGTTAGCAAAGCCCGATAGTCACATATATTATGGAGTCTAATTTTTATTCTCAAAACTAAAAAAAACAAGAAACCCCAAAACCCTTAATCAAATCTCTCATTCCTCTAAACTCTTTATCTTTCATCTCTCTCACTCCACACATTTTCTCTGTCATCCTATGGTAGCCTCAACTGAAAAAAATTAGAAACACTAGCGGTTAAACAATCTTACAAAAAATGATTTTATAACAAGTTTTTATTTTATAATTTTTATCTTATATAATTTTATCTAATTTTCACAAGCATAATGACATCAAAAGAATTGGTAATTGGCCTGAAAAAGATCAGAAGCACTCGTTGTTAAATAATTTCTTACAAAAACTGATTTTATAATGAGTTTTCATTTTTATCTTATCTAATTTTATCTAATTTTCACAAACATAATGACATCCGAAGGAATTGGTAACTGACCTAAATGGTTATTTTTAGAGATGATTATTCACCATTTACAGATGATGAAATTAAAGAGGTTAGTAAAGATGATGAAATTGAAGAGATCTTGAATGAACTTTTGTCTGAAAGTGCATATGTCAATGACTCAACTCTTTAGAAAGACAACTTGTTTAACTTCTGATTTTTTAGGGTATTTTTGTTTACTAAAACATAATACACGTTACTAAAACGTTCCAACTGAAAAACAAGCATCTAACAACTACATTACATTAACATAATACCATCCCATATTTTGCAGAGCAACTTTACCGAACAAATATTCGCTACACAACTAACAGTAATTCGAGGGAACAAATGTTAGAAACAATATGTAAATTTTATTCAATAATTTATATTTTCAAAATTAAAATTCTNTTTATTAATTAAATTGTTTTATCTTTTAAATTATGATTATTTTTTAAAATTAAATTAATTAATTATAATAAATTTATATCTATTCTTATTAATCTCAATTAATTTATTATTTTATTCTTTAAGTCTTATAATTATTTTTAAAATTTTAATTAATTACTTATGACATTATTATAAAAATAAATAATTATTTCTTTTAATAATTATAATAAAAAAATTATTTGTTCATATATATATAACTATATAAAATAAGAGATAAAGTTAATTTATAGATAATTTTGTAAGATTTAATTAAATTTAGAATCTAGTTATGATATAGTTACAATTTATTATAATAAAATTTAATGTTTCTCTTAAATAATGAGAGATATTGTTAAATTGTATAAATAAAAATAAATTATATTTAAATATTAATTTTATAAAATTAAATTAGATTTAAAATATATCTCTTAATATTTAGTTTATGTTTTTGTTTTTAATTTTTAAATTAAATTTTTTTTATCAATTTTATCCTTTAAGTAATATTTTTTTACATATAACTGTTTTCTTTATTTTTACTATTTTTTAAAACTTTAATTATTTTTTAAACTGAAATATGTCTCTATCACACACACATAGACAAAAATACATATATCATGGATTCTAAGTTTTAAGGTTAAGGGTATTTTAATAATTTTCATTCTCAAAACTAAAATAAAAAAAGAAAACCCTCAAACCCTTACTCACGTCCCTTGTTCCTCTCAACCATTTATCTTTCATCTCTCTCACTCCAACATTTTTTTTGTCATTCTACTGCAGCTTCAAGAAAAAATCACCTTTAAAAAATTTGTCTTTGTAAAGAATTAAGTGATTGACATATTCACCTTCAGACAAAGGTTCATTGAAGATCTCTTCAATTTCACTATCTTCACTAACCTCTCTAATTTCATCATCTGCATATGTTGAATCATCATCTCTAAAAAAAACCCTCCATACCAATTATCAATTCCTTGCTTGTGAAAATTAGATAAAAAATTATATACGACAAAAATTATAAAATGAAAACTCATTATAAAATTATTTTTTGCAAGAAATTGTTTAACAACTAGTGTTTCTGATTTTTTTTCAAGCCAATTACCAATTCCCTTGATGTCATTATGCTTGTGAAAATTAGAAAAAATTAGATAAGACATTATAAAATGAAAACTCATTATAAAATCATTTTTTGTAAGAAATTGTTTAACAGCGAGTATTTATGATTTTTTCCAGGTCAATTACCTTATGCTTGTGAAAATTGGATAAAATTAGATAATACAAAAATTATAAAATGAAAATTCATTATAAAATCATTTTTTGTAAGATTGTTTAACGACAATTGAGAGAAATGAAAGAGTAAGGGTTGTGAGGAATTAGAGAGGTGAGTAAGGGTTTAGGGGTTTCTTTTATTTAGTTTTGAGAATGAAAATTATTAAAATACCCTTAATCTTAAAACTTAGAATCCATAATATATGAGACTATTGGGTACACGAGTTAAAACAAACGTACAGAAGTTAGCAAACCCCAATAGTCTCATATATTATGGAGTCTACTTTTTATTCTCAAAACTAAAAAAAACAAGAAACCCCAAAACCCTTAATCAAATCTCTCATTCCTCTAAACTCTTTATCTTTCATCTCTCTCACTCCACACATTTTCTCTGTCATCCTATGGTAGCCTCAACTGAAAAAAAATTAGAAACACTAGCGGTTAAACAATCTTACAAAAAATGATTTTATAACAAGTTTTTATTTTATAATTTTTATCTTATATAATTTTATCTAATTTTCACAAGCATAATGACATCAAAAGAATTGGTAATTGGCCTGAAAAAGATCAGAAGCACTCGTTAAATAATTTCTTACAAAAACTGATTTTATAATGAGTTTTCATTTTTATCTTATCTAATTTTATCTAATTTTCACAAACATAATGACATCCGAAGGAATTGGTAACTGACCTAAATGGTTATTTTTAGAGATGATTATTCACCATTTACAGATGATGAAATTAAAGAGGTTAGTAAAGATGATGAAATTGAAGAGATCTTGAATGAACTTTTGTCTGAAAGTGCATATGTCAATGACTCAACTCTTTAGAAAGACAACTTGTTTAACTTCTGATTTTTTAGGGTATTTTTGTTTACTAAAACATAATACACGTTACTAAAACGTTCCAACTGAAAAACAAGCATCTAACAACTACATTACATTAACATAATACCATCCCATATTTTGCAGAGCAACTTTACCGAACAAATATTCGCTACACAACTAACAGTAATTCGAGGGAACAAATGTTAGAAACAATATGTAAATTTTATTCAATAATTTATATTTTCAAAATTAAAATTCTCAAAAAGAAAAATGCAAAGTTGAATTATAAAATTTGTAACAACCAATCCTCATAATTAACAATTATTTTTTACATGAACGATATATTTTTTAAAAGTTTTAGCATAGTAATTTTATTCAAAAGCTACGTTTGAAATAAATAGAAACATATTTTATAGCACCTTTAAGTAAATGAGCTAAAAAAACATAATATGAAGAGAAATTTATATTGTAATTTTTTCATAACCTATAATTTTTTTTTATAATTATGAATGAAATAGTAAGACTCGTCCTCACCTTCATTGTTATCCCTATTGAGAACAAATGTTGTGTTCTCCGCCTGAATCAAATTTGTGAATTTTGCATTAGTATCTCCTAGGAAATTCACAGAGATTGAATTTTTTTTTCAATGTTTTTCCAATAAACAAAAAATATTATAATTAAAACGTTTAACTGGAATTTTTAATTAATAAAAAACTTTTAATACACAATAACTTAATATAAAAAAAATATAAACTAAACCCAAAATACAAATAAAAACAATAACAAATTAAAAATAAAAAATAAAAATAATATATCTAACATTACAAAACCTAGTTTACTAATTTATTTATTTTAACCAATGGTTATTGGTATAATAGAATATAAGAAATATAAGTTTTTGCAATAAGACATAACACATGAAATTTCACTGTAAAACGTTATTTAGACCCTTATCAAATTTAATCAAGCAATGAAGATTTGATTTTAATCATACGAGTACAAAGTGGGGCACGGCCCCACTTTTATCATGTATACTCTAATTTATGTGGTGCTGTACAAGATAAACAACTCATGGAAGGTTCTGTTTGTACATGTGTGTAAACTGTAAACAAATTTCACCAAAGTGAATGGGCTGAGAAAAATAATTAAACCAAAGATTGTGTGTGAAAACTCATCATACAGTACTACCAACGGAATTAGTACTTAGTCTAGTAAGTTTGAAAAAATCCATGACAAGACAAAAAAAGTACTATATCGGAGTAAAAAGTGTTGCTAAACCTTGATCCACTGCTATCTGTAATTTATCATAGGTCATCAAAGTCTTCTCCTCACACTTGTAAGTTCCTTTCCCTCTTGCCAGAACCTCACCATCTGCATCTATGATCCCTTCTTTCTCTTGGTCCTTGGTGCGTGGACCAGGTTGCAAGCTGAAAGCTTTCACCTGCATAATGTTGTGAAGATACAAACTTTATTAAGTTTCCTTACGCAAATAAACCAAAGCATGGCCATTTCAGAAGCTCGAAGTAACTGCTACAAAAAGCATTGTGCTTAAACATATTGATGATCAAACCTTTAGGTACGTGACGTACTGAGATTTTACATGTCCTCCTGTATTCAACTCTGACATCATTGATAGTAATGGTAGCGTTGGGCAATTCTTGATGATGATCAAGTCCAGATAACCATCAGAGAACTGCATTACAAGATCACAGCAACAAAAGATCAAGCCCGTAAGTAATAATGCTTATCATACATACGCATCCGTATGTGAGCTTGTGTATAACACAATGTCTCCCACTAGGCAGAAACTTATGAAAGAGAAAATTTAGACCATTAACAATATTCAGACGAATTTTCTTAGATGTGAAAAATCCAGGCAGCAATCAAAGACTTGAGATATTTATACTCTATTGTGCTTATTTTAATCTTCAATTTCCATGCATTTTTGCTAGTGGATCATTAAAATCCAGAAAAGTAAGAGGCAAATAATCATTTCTTTTTGAAACAGCTACCATAGGGTGTTATGCTGTCAAATTGATACATAACCGGTGCTAGTAACGGTGTCATCACTGTCATATAAAATTGGAAACATTTCCCAGTTATATGTTCATGAATAGAAGTGTGAGAAATCAAGAGGACATGCTTGAATCGTAGCCACTCAAAACTAACCTTTGCATCAGGTGCTGCCATTGTGTCTTCCGCACCCCAAGGCACATTGTGAAGCCAGACAGAAATAAAGGGTCCATTTATAACTCTCCAATTCAAATTTTCCACGTTTATTTCAGGTCCTAGATAACAAGGCCTTTGTTTATTAGTATGTTCTGCTTCACTTGTATCACTGTTGCTTCCTTTGCTAGTAGTAGGTTTTCCAGGGTAACTTGTGGGCTCCCCAAAAGCTTCAAACCCAGGTGCAGGCACAAAAGAAACACATCCAATGTATTGCCTCAAGTTCAAGAGTCGACAGAGGCCCTGAATCAGGAAAGCAGTGAGTGAAGAAAACTATAATGAACAAATTCAATCACTTATCTGTCAAACGAATCCCACTGCAAGTTTTACGATGAAATTCAAAATAGCTTCTAGCATGTCATAAAACTACCCACTTCTTTTATAAAAAAAATTATGATTTCTAAACAAATTGAAAATAGCTTATGCTATTTTTGTAATCTCTAAACAATAATCGCTAGATTGTCTTACTAATCAGTTTTTTCTAATCTGTAACAAACTGACCCATATTCTATTCTAGTGCTATAAATCAAGACTGTATTTTCTTAACTAAGTATCAGAAGACATTCTACATCGCATAAATAGCTTCACATTGTAAAATACAAGAAACTAAAGCACATGGCCAGCAATTTAATGCTTATTTTTCTTTTATTCATGTTCCTTCCATCAAACCAAGTAAGGAGAAGATAATTACGATGATTACCCATATAAGAGAGACACATATAAGTGAAAGAAAAACATCATAAATAAACATGTGGAAATTGTAAAATGGATTACTGACATAGAAATCAAGTCGAGCGCTCCCCATCCACCTGTACTTTTCAGACTCTATGTCAATATCTGCCACCAGACCTGAAATAGAATAGTACCTCCAGTTTTATAATATGTCAAACGAATTGCATGGTTGGAATCATATGCAGACTCAAGTAGGGCGGGGATAAATCAAGAAAAGAAAGAATGAAATACAAACAGTTAGCCTAGATGTTTTAGCACATCTGCTGCAACCACTTCACTGAATAGTCCATTACACAGAGAGAGTAGTTACCCCATGCAAGCATCAATATACTGAAAAATCTGATTTCTCCTTGTATGATGGTAGCCACATCAAGTGGTCGTTTATTGCCTGTTGGTATTTAATAAACAGTTTAAATTTATAATAGCACATAAATAATGGACATGACATGTTTGAATGACATGGATGGATCAAAACCTCGTATAATGGCATGAACGGCATTAGCTACTTCACAAGGATCGCCCACAGAATCAAGAAGTGATTTCGCCATGCCATTTCCCGTACCTTCAACGCATGGAAGAACTTTTTAGCTTGGTAAAACAAAACTGTATAGTTGCCCATAAAACTTATTGTGTACAAATAACAAAAGATAAACCTTATAACCAAAACAAAACCCAATTAGTAACCCACCTCTCACTTTAAAGCAATAAAGTCTAATTAGATAAAACCTATTCAACAAAGTAATGATGATGATAAACCTGCAGGAACTACCCCAAGGGGTATCTTTATTGCCGTTTCCCAATCCTCTCTTTGAAGAAGTCCATTTACAACCTACTAAAATGTGCAATGTCTGTTAGATTAAGAAAAAAAATTAAAAACAAAGACATCAAAAGTGAACAAGGGCAAAAGTATTCTAGAATGCACAGGTTTTGAAAAAACTTAGAAGTGAACCACATTGCGTTTTGAATTCCCACAGATGTCATAACATTCATTCGAATCTTCTGGGATTCATTGGAATACCACAACCCAATCCCCGAAGACCATTAAGTTTCTCAGGAAATAACAAAATCAAGGTATTGACTATATGCTTTTCAATTAGTCCACGAGCATGAGCCCATAAACCAGTACAGCATTAGCACATCTTGAAATGATAACTAAAATGGTTTACAGGCAGCAGATACTAATATTGTTTAACTCATACATTAAGAGCACCTCTCAATTAATCTTTCTTTTCTAACAAGGTTTGGAAAGACCAACTACTATCATGCAAATAACAATAGTTAGTGTTATGGTTTAAGGAGAAGAGGGGTTTTGAATATTAATCAGTTAGTTATAGGGGTTAAGTAAATATGGATAAGGGAGGTACAACAGTAGGATCCAGGGAATAGGTTGTCATCTATAAATTGAGCATTAGCCCTTTGTGAAGGGAAAACCCGTGGAAGGGTGACCCTTGAAGGAGAAATTTCTTTCATATTCCTTTTTCTTTTCGTCCTATTTCTCTCTAATTCCTAATTTGTGGTTCGTATAGTTTGACGAAACACATAATTAGCTACTGCTCAATATTTATGCATTGTAAACATGAAGCGTACAGAAAAATGTGTTCCGAATGCTATTACGATCATAATTTTTGCATTAATAATCGTGGACAAGATGATGACGAATAATAGCACACTGCAACAAGGATACTAGCAATGAAACTAACCTCTACCAAAAGTCCATCTCCACTAACACAAACAATCCCGTCGTATTTGGTAATGTCTAGCAAATGAGTAATTTCCTTTGCATGGAGCTGATGCTTGGTTTCTGAGGAAAATCATATCATATAAATATACAAATACATTTGAAAGGAAAATAGAAACAACAACGAAACATAGTCAAAGAATTAGAGTACCTTGGACTGTGATTTCGATTTGAGCATCTTCAAGAAGAGGTTTCACTTGTTCATCGAAAATCTTCGTAGCGGATTTCTTCCCACCAAATGGATTAACAAAAACAAACAACCTCTTAGGGCGACCTACATTATGACATAATTCAGTACACGTTTGCATTTCCGTTTGGAGAAGTGGAGAATTAAAAAGTAGTCTTACTTCACAGTAGCAAATTTATTTTCCNTCTCAAAAAGAAAAATGCAAAGTTGAATTATAAAATTTGTAACAACCAATCCTCATAATTAACAATTATTTTTTACATGAACGATATATTTTTTAAAAGTTTTAGCATAGTAATTTTATTCAAAAGCTACGTTTGAAATAAATAGAAACATATTTTATAGCACCTTTAAGTAAATGAGCTAAAAAAACATAATATGAAGAGAAATTTATATTGTAATTTTTTCATAACCTATAATTTTTTTTTATAATTATGAATGAAATAGTAAGACTCGTCCTCACCTTCATTGTTATCCCTATTGAGAACAAATGTTGTGTTCTCCGCCTGAATCAAATTTGTGAATTTTGCATTAGTATCTCCTAGGAAATTCACAGAGATTGAATTTTTTTTTCAATGTTTTTCCAATAAACAAAAAATATTATAATTAAAACGTTTAACTGGAATTTTTAATTAATAAAAAACTTTTAATACACAATAACTTAATATAAAAAAAATATAAACTAAACCCAAAATACAAATAAAAACAATAACAAATTAAAAATAAAAAATAAAAATAATATATCTAACATTACAAAACCTAGTTTACTAATTTATTTATTTTAACCAATGGTTATTGGTATAATAGAATATAAGAAATATAAGTTTTTGCAATAAGACATAACACATGAAATTTCACTGTAAAACGTTATTTAGACCCTTATCAAATTTAATCAAGCAATGAAGATTTGATTTTAATCATACGAGTACAAAGTGGGGCACGGCCCCACTTTTATCATGTATACTCTAATTTATGTGGTGCTGTACAAGATAAACAACTCATGGAAGGTTCTGTTTGTACATGTGTGTAAACTGTAAACAAATTTCACCAAAGTGAATGGGCTGAGAAAAATAATTAAACCAAAGATTGTGTGTGAAAACTCATCATACAGTACTACCAACGGAATTAGTACTTAGTCTAGTAAGTTTGAAAAAATCCATGACAAGACAAAAAAAGTACTATATCGGAGTAAAAAGTGTTGCTAAACCTTGATCCACTGCTATCTGTAATTTATCATAGGTCATCAAAGTCTTCTCCTCACACTTGTAAGTTCCTTTCCCTCTTGCCAGAACCTCACCATCTGCATCTATGATCCCTTCTTTCTCTTGGTCCTTGGTGCGTGGACCAGGTTGCAAGCTGAAAGCTTTCACCTGCATAATGTTGTGAAGATACAAACTTTATTAAGTTTCCTTACGCAAATAAACCAAAGCATGGCCATTTCAGAAGCTCGAAGTAACTGCTACAAAAAGCATTGTGCTTAAACATATTGATGATCAAACCTTTAGGTACGTGACGTACTGAGATTTTACATGTCCTCCTGTATTCAACTCTGACATCATTGATAGTAATGGTAGCGTTGGGCAATTCTTGATGATGATCAAGTCCAGATAACCATCAGAGAACTGCATTACAAGATCACAGCAACAAAAGATCAAGCCCGTAAGTAATAATGCTTATCATACATACGCATCCGTATGTGAGCTTGTGTATAACACAATGTCTCCCACTAGGCAGAAACTTATGAAAGAGAAAATTTAGACCATTAACAATATTCAGACGAATTTTCTTAGATGTGAAAAATCCAGGCAGCAATCAAAGACTTGAGATATTTATACTCTATTGTGCTTATTTTAATCTTCAATTTCCATGCATTTTTGCTAGTGGATCATTAAAATCCAGAAAAGTAAGAGGCAAATAATCATTTCTTTTTGAAACAGCTACCATAGGGTGTTATGCTGTCAAATTGATACATAACCGGTGCTAGTAACGGTGTCATCACTGTCATATAAAATTGGAAACATTTCCCAGTTATATGTTCATGAATAGAAGTGTGAGAAATCAAGAGGACATGCTTGAATCGTAGCCACTCAAAACTAACCTTTGCATCAGGTGCTGCCATTGTGTCTTCCGCACCCCAAGGCACATTGTGAAGCCAGACAGAAATAAAGGGTCCATTTATAACTCTCCAATTCAAATTTTCCACGTTTATTTCAGGTCCTAGATAACAAGGCCTTTGTTTATTAGTATGTTCTGCTTCACTTGTATCACTGTTGCTTCCTTTGCTAGTAGTAGGTTTTCCAGGGTAACTTGTGGGCTCCCCAAAAGCTTCAAACCCAGGTGCAGGCACAAAAGAAACACATCCAATGTATTGCCTCAAGTTCAAGAGTCGACAGAGGCCCTGAATCAGGAAAGCAGTGAGTGAAGAAAACTATAATGAACAAATTCAATCACTTATCTGTCAAACGAATCCCACTGCAAGTTTTACGATGAAATTCAAAATAGCTTCTAGCATGTCATAAAACTACCCACTTCTTTTATAAAAAAAATTATGATTTCTAAACAAATTGAAAATAGCTTATGCTATTTTTGTAATCTCTAAACAATAATCGCTAGATTGTCTTACTAATCAGTTTTTTCTAATCTGTAACAAACTGACCCATATTCTATTCTAGTGCTATAAATCAAGACTGTATTTTCTTAACTAAGTATCAGAAGACATTCTACATCGCATAAATAGCTTCACATTGTAAAATACAAGAAACTAAAGCACATGGCCAGCAATTTAATGCTTATTTTTCTTTTATTCATGTTCCTTCCATCAAACCAAGTAAGGAGAAGATAATTACGATGATTACCCATATAAGAGAGACACATATAAGTGAAAGAAAAACATCATAAATAAACATGTGGAAATTGTAAAATGGATTACTGACATAGAAATCAAGTCGAGCGCTCCCCATCCACCTGTACTTTTCAGACTCTATGTCAATATCTGCCACCAGACCTGAAATAGAATAGTACCTCCAGTTTTATAATATGTCAAACGAATTGCATGGTTGGAATCATATGCAGACTCAAGTAGGGCGGGGATAAATCAAGAAAAGAAAGAATGAAATACAAACAGTTAGCCTAGATGTTTTAGCACATCTGCTGCAACCACTTCACTGAATAGTCCATTACACAGAGAGAGTAGTTACCCCATGCAAGCATCAATATACTGAAAAATCTGATTTCTCCTTGTATGATGGTAGCCACATCAAATGGTCGTTTATTGCCTGTTGGTATTTAATAAACAGTTTAAATTTATAATAGCACATAAATAATGGACATGACATGTTTGAATGACATGGATGGATCAAAACCTCGTATAATGGCATGAACGGCATTAGCTACTTCACAAGGATCGCCCACAGAATCAAGAAGTGATTTCGCCATGCCATTTCCCGTACCTTCAACGCATGGAAGAACTTTTTAGCTTGGTAAAACAAAACTGTATAGTTGCCCATAAAACTTATTGTGTACAAATAACAAAAGATAAACCTTATAACCAAAACAAAACCCAATTAGTAACCCACCTCTCACTTTAAAGCAATAAAGTCTAATTAGATAAAACCTATTCAACAAAGTAATGATGATGATAAACCTGCAGGAACTACCCCAAGGGGTATCTTTATTGCCGTTTCCCAATCCTCTCTTTGAAGAAGTCCATTTACAACCTACTAAAATGTGCAATGTCTGTTAGATTAAGAAAAAAAATTAAAAACAAAGACATCAAAAGTGAACAAGGGCAAAAGTATTCTAGAATGCACAGGTTTTGAAAAAACTTAGAAGTGAACCACATTGCGTTTTGAATTCCCACAGATGTCATAACATTCATTCGAATCTTCTGGGATTCATTGGAATACCACAACCCAATCCCCGAAGACCATTAAGTTTCTCAGGAAATAACAAAATCAAGGTATTGACTATATGCTTTTCAATTAGTCCACGAGCATGAGCCCATAAACCAGTACAGCATTAGCACATCTTGAAATGATAACTAAAATGGTTTACAGGCAGCAGATACTAATATTGTTTAACTCATACATTAAGAGCACCTCTCAATTAATCTTTCTTTTCTAACAAGGTTTGGAAAGACCAACTACTATCATGCAAATAACAATAGTTAGTGTTATGGTTTAAGGAGAAGAGGGGTTTTGAATATTAATCAGTTAGTTATAGGGGTTAAGTAAATATGGATAAGGGAGGTACAACAGTAGGATCCAGGGAATAGGTTGTCATCTATAAATTGAGCATTAGCCCTTTGTGAAGGGAAAACCCGTGGAAGGGTGACCCTTGAAGGAGAAATTTCTTTCATATTCCTTTTTCTTTTCGTCCTATTTCTCTCTAATTCCTAATTTGTGGTTCGTATAGTTTGACGAAACACATAATTAGCTACTGCTCAATATTTATGCATTGTAAACATGAAGCGTACAGAAAAATGTGTTCCGAATGCTATTACGATCATAATTTTTGCATTAATAATCGTGGACAAGATGATGACGAATAATAGCACACTGCAACAAGGATACTAGCAATGAAACTAACCTCTACCAAAAGTCCATCTCCACTAACACAAACAATCCCGTCGTATTTGGTAATGTCTAGCAAATGAGTAATTTCCTTTGCATGGAGCTGATGCTTGGTTTCTGAGGAAAATCATATCATATAAATATACAAATACATTTGAAAGGAAAATAGAAACAACAACGAAACATAGTCAAAGAATTAGAGTACCTTGGACTGTGATTTCGATTTGAGCATCTTCAAGAAGAGGTTTCACTTGTTCATCGAAAATCTTCGTAGCGGATTTCTTCCCACCAAATGGATTAACAAAAACAAACAACCTCTTAGGGCGACCTACATTATGACATAATTCAGTACACGTTTGCATTTCCGTTTGGAGAAGTGGAGAATTAAAAAGTAGTCTTACTTCACAGTAGCAAATTTATTTTCCCATTTTGGCACTAAAATTCACAATTGTACATCGAAATTTAGAGAAGCACTTTTTAAACTTTTAGCGATACACTTTCAGACTTCATAAACACATGCAACGCAGTTACAACAACCTTAACCGTACCGAGAGAAAGGTGAAATTTAATTTACCGAGGGAATCGACGAATTCACTAAGCTTTTGGCACCAGAGCCTGTGCGATTCCTCGGAAGAGGGCATAAAGACGACGTCGTTTCGAGCGAGTCTTGCAGGAGCGCCGGTGCTGCAGCATCCGTCTCGGGTCTCGACGAGACTCTTGATCTTGATGTAAGGCCCACTGGTAACGAAGGAGAGGACGTCCTTTTCAACGGACAAACAACGTTGGTTTCCCTCCGACCACCACAGACGGCCGTCGGCGAGCAGAGCAAGCGGCGTTACGATGCCGTTGACGGTGACACGGTCCGACATTAAGGGACGCTGCTGGGGATCCATAGCCGGTCCAAGTCTGGGATGGCCCACCTGCAGCCCGGTTCGATGATGATAATTAAAACCAAAAACCGGGTTTTGGCGTTTGAGAGGAGAGAGATATGCTATAAGCAAACTATTACAAATATTACGTGGATACTGGTTGCTTACTTAACTGCAAACCTTGTCTGACGCCAACCACTTTGTGAAACCACGTCACAAAACATTATAATTCCTTTTTCGCCTTATAATCTATTTTTGTTTCAACTATCTACTATGTATTAAAATAAATTTAATTTTAAAATATTTAATTTTAAAAAAATACTAGATATTATTCAAAACAATATTGGGAATTTTAAATATATTTAATTTTTTTACATTTAAATTTATGTAATCATTTCTAGGCCTTTATTCAACTCTTGTGAAGAAAATTTAGCCTTTTTTTTCTGCATTATATCGGATGGTGTATACCGAACGGTTTATTAATTGGTAACCGTTCAGTCACCACTACAACAATGGTCAATCAGATCATTATCCAGTGCATTAAGTAAGGTCAACCAGGTCGAATGATTTTTGGACCAGCGTTTATGTTATTGGGTCAATGGTCCACCAGAAGATAAAATAATCAAGGATATCTTATTAAAGATATTGATATGCAGTTTATGAGCAACCAATTGGATTTTAAGGTAAGTCTGTTTATATTTTATTCGACCTGTGTCAGTTTAGGTCTGTGAGGCAGATTATAAATACAAAGTTAGGACCAAAAGCCAGTACATTGTTTTACTTACGTCTGATCAGGACTAAATATTGATAAACAGTTCATAAAACCGCAAAGCAGCACAGGTAACTCAAGTATTGAAAAACAGCAAAGTCGCGTCAAAAAGGTTAGTCTCTCGATCTTACAAATTTGAGCATGGTAGTGGAATTTGATTATTGATTATATTAAATTTTTAAAATTGATTTTTCTTGATGAAACTATTTTTTTCAAAAATAAAAATTGCTCAATTCATTTATCTTTTCCAAACTCCTTTATTTTCTTCAGTTTACTAGGTTTGGATCATGCGACAACCTTTTCTTGACTCTTCTTATCAAATGAGAGGATTAGGAAAGAGTTTTTGTTCTTATCGTTGGAGGTAACGTGGGTGCTTATGACACTTTGCAACATGTTCATACGTCATCTTATCCCTTTTCTCTTTTCTTTCCATATATACTCTACATTTTAATAACTGTAAAAGCTTGAGAAAGAAAAAAATTCCCAAAATGCAAAAATATTTTTCTAGCATTGCAACATATTGAAGTGAAAAACCGACACAGAAGTGAACAGCACAACTAAAAATTGGGTCCATGTGAGAAAAGTAAAGGATTAAACGAGGCTTTTTCTTGCGTTGCAACTTGGGTCTACGTTTAGTCTTTTGTTTCCGGATGGCACGTAAGGAACTTGAATATTATTTTCCAAGTTGCAAAAAACTATAACAGCAATTTCAACATGACACTGTTTATGACAGATTATTATCATGTTGAGGAGTGACAGTGACAGACGCACCTGCTGAATCACCCCACGTGGCAAGCCCCAATAAAATATTGCAAAGATTCTCAATCCGACGACCCAAATCCCATGATGTCCCGCGGCCGCAAGATCGAAACCCCACCGCCCAGGCCCAACAACCACTCCCAGATTCGCAAACCGTTAGATTATACCTATCACTCACACCGTAGCAGAAACAAATCTCACAGAAAGTGCCTCGGGTTCGTTAACACAGGCGTCGAACCGCAGAGAAAATTCCGCGAAATTTCTCAGATTCTGCACTTTTTTCTTTTGCTGAGGATTTTCAACATTCTGCTTTTCTATCCGCTCGCGTTCCATCGAATCCGTGACAGTTACACTTCGTTATCCTTTGTCTCTTTTTTTAAAAGGATTTTACGAGAGACGACGAAATCCGACAGCAGTGAGAATAATGCAGACGAGGTACATGGAGAAATCGAGCAGCGCGGCGAGGGGGAAGCGCCGCTTAGATTCAGGCTCCACCGAAGAAGAACAACCTGAAAAAAAGCGACCTGCTCTTGCTAGGTGAATCATTTCCTGTTCTTAATTTTCTATCAGCTCTAGTGTACTAGTCACTATGATTCTTTGTTCTATCAGCTTTATTCATGGTCACTGCTGACCAATGTGTAGTTAGTCCTTTAACTCGCTTCTAATTTTGAAGTACGTTTTCTAGTTCAAATTTTGTATATGAAATAATCATGAGTAACATCTCTCTACAAAACTCGGTGGTGGACTTCTCACTAATGACATGCATGATAACCCAAAAATACAAAGTCACTATACAACATTCGGACTTACAAATAATATACATATTCGTTCTATGCGTTTGGTCCTAATGAGAAAACCTTGGTCGGTTCGTTAATGGAAAGTAGGTTTTGATGTGAATTAACCATATAAATGAATACGCGACTGGAATAACGTCCCGAATGGATGTTCACATACCGCTGATAAAAAAGGAGGGGCGGGGATAGCTCTTGCCAGATTAACTGAATAGAACTAAATGTGAAGTTGTTGTGATTTTTTTTAACCTAAACAATAAGAATGGGTGAATTAGATCTTTGGTTTAGTAAAAGCGAGGCTTAAGATGAGATGAGAGGAAATTAGAGATATGTGACAACAGATGACGTTTAATATGAGTAAGAGAACCAAAATTGTGATTTTCTTTCTTGCAAGTTTATATAAATGGTTTTTTGGAGAAAACATAGAAAATGTTATTTATATTTTTTTCAATCAAAATTAAAATTTTATTTTAGTATTAATACATAACCTTTATTATGGAAATTACTAAGAAAAAAACTATAATTTGATTAGAAAACAGTACCAGCAATATTATGAAACTTCATGCCTTGTTATCACTGTATTAGCACTTATATGTCATATCTATCTAATGAATGAATTTAATGTTTTATCTATTTATTCACATCATTTGCAGCGTTATTGTTGAAGCCCTCAAGGTGGATAGTCTGCAGAAACTTTGTTCATCACTGGAGCCTATTCTTCGTAGAGTTGTAAGAAAATTAAGTTCATTGTAGTATTGATTTGCTTCAGGGTGGACTTATATATTATTTGAAGTTATCACTTGTACGGATTAATCATCCCTTGAAACAAAAACTCTGGATTACTGGCCCATTTTGAAAAAACCTTCTGTCTTCTTGAGGATGATAGGTTTGGCTAGAATCTAGATGTCAGTCATGCCACTATTGTGTGGCTTAAGATAAAATTGGATAGAGTACTTGAGATCACATATTCAAACCTTAACAAGCCGAAAAAGGTCAATATTTTTATAAAATAAATAGTCCTTGTGTTGCGAGAAAGGCTTCCTGGAATAACATTTATTTACCTCACTCAGGCGCTCTTTTGTAAAATTGTGATAAAGGCCATCATTCTGTCCTGTGGTGTATTTAAATGCCTTTACATGTCAAATAGAATTCAACGGAACAACTCCGTAGGTTAAGTTAACCTAATTGCATGTATGCCACTTTCCATGAGTGATGTTTGATCATGGACATATCTCATATCTTAGTCTTGCTTCCTGCTCAACAGGTTAGCGAAGAAGTAGAGTGTGCTTTAGCAAAATTAGTCCCTGTCAAGCTTAGTGGAAGGTATTACTTTGTCACTTCAAGGTCAATTTCATGACCATATTTGTTTGATAAATTTTATCTTATCCTAGTGTATTTGTATCTATATTTTAATTTTCTAATACTCAAACTAAAATACAGGTCTTCTCCCAAGAGCATAGAAGGCCCTATTGACAGCAGTCTACAGTTACAATTCAGGAACAGGTTATCCCTTCCCCTCTTTACTGGTGGGAAAGTGGACGGAGAGCATGGCAGCGCCATACACTTTGTTTTGATTGATACAATAACAGGCCATGTTGTTACATCTGGCCCAGCTTCGTGTGTCAAACTAGACGTTATTGTACTTGAAGGAGATTTCAATAACGAGGATGATGATAATTGGAGTGAAGAAGATTTTGACAGTCACGTAGTTAAAGAGCGGGAAGGAAAAAGACCTCTTCTGGCTGGTGATCTGCAAGTGACGCTGAAGGAGGGTGTAGGAACATTGGGTGAGCTTACATTTACAGACAACTCTAGTTGGATAAGGAGTAGGAAGTTCAGGCTGGGGCTCAAAGTTTCCTCAGATTGTTATGAGGGAATGCGTATTCGTGAAGCCAAAACAGAGGCTTTCACTGTTAAGGATCACCGTGGAGAATGTAAGTATAACTTCACTATTTCTGTTCGACCCTTCTTCTGTCATGAAACTGATTCTGGATTGCAGTATACAAGAAGCATTACCCACCTGCCTTGAATGATGAGGTCTGGAGACTGGAGAAGATTGGAAAGGATGGTTCATTTCACAAAAGGTTAAATAAAGCGGGAGTATATACAGTTGAAGATGTCGTACGACTTGTGGTCAGAGATCCACAGAGATTGCGGAATGTAAGAATTTAATCACTTTTTTATCAGGGGAAGATTTAAAATTTTATCCATCCAAAATTTTCACAGATTAACGATATCTTATGTAGATTCTCGGGAGTGGTATGTCAAATAAAATGTGGGATGTTCTTGTTGAGCATGCAAAGACTTGTGTTCTCAGTGGAAAACTCTATGTATATTATCCCGATGGTGCAAGGAATGTTGGTGTTGTTTTCAATAACATCTATGAGTTGAGTGGTCTAATTACCAATGACCAATATTACTCTGCTGATTCTCTCTCAGACAGTCAAAAGGTAAGCGAACCTGTCCTCTGAATTTTGCATTTATTCTTTGAATTTGGACTAAACTGTTGGATTTCTTTCATAGTATGCTTAATCTGATTTCTCATGTCACTTGTTGAGATGTGGTTTCATTCTTGCGGTTTTATTGTTTGTGCATCCAACTTTTAATCTTGAAGGAGTCCGATTCTAAGGAAAAATATAAAACTTAATTGGATCTTATGCTTCACTGCAAGTCATTTTGCTTTTATTCTTGAGTTCTTGCAGTACTACACTAAACTTATTGCTAGTTTAAAAAGAGGCTCAGGCATAGAATATCCGCGTATTTTTTTTCTTTCTAACTTGAGTGAACAGATCAGATAGGCAGTTGGCTTAGTATAAATATACCCATTATTGATCTAGGTGTCAAAGGTGGGA